GAAAGGACTCTCTCTCTCTGTATATGTATATACCATCGCTTATGTAATAAATCACACATGTACACACACATTTATTTATTAACACAGAGCTTATTTTTTCTATCACAAAAATAATGATAATAATTTTGAATTCAAGTTTTATATTTTTGCTGTTGAGGGTTTGGATTCTTTATTTTTTTTTTTTTTTTTTTTTTTTTTTTTTACGGGAAAAAAAAAATTAAGATTTTGGAATAAATGTGAGTAAAAGAATGTTGAAATCAGAAGCGAAATAATTAGAATTTCGTGTAGTGGGATGTAAGTGAAAGAAAGTATTTGTGTCTCTTTGCCAGTAGTATAACCAACTTGTCATGCGTCTTCCTATCCAAGTCGCGGGTGGAGAACGTTCGTACTTGCCCAACAATGCACGGCGAAATTACGCATTCCAATTTCGAAGGACACTACTGGGAATTCACGTACGTCCTTCTGGAGACCAATAAATGTCCGCGTTAGAGAAGCAACATTTAATAAATGTTTATCCAAATAAATTTAGGGCTGTTCTCCGTGTGAATTTTTATGACTTTTGTATTATACATTACCCAAAATTTAGATTTAGATTTAGTAGATTATAGTTCAAGTTATGAAAACGGAATAAGGCACTAATTAATAGTGTAAATAATTAAAATTTTGATAAATTTCAGTTGCGTCGGAGTTGGAATTCTGAGTATAGCTCACTGGTGGTGATTAATAATCAGGAGGAGGCGATATTTCACTAGGATTCGGCTGGATCCGCCGGAAAGATCGCCAGGAAGGATAACGGGAGACGCTGTTGGAAAGGAGACACGCTAACTTGTTTCAGAATCGTTCCGAGACTACAAACTTATATGCATATTTACATTATTATATGTACTATTAAATTATTTTCATAATAATAATACACGGAAAGAAATTGAAAAACTTTATTAAAGTAGAACTAATCTATCCAAACAGATGATTGCGAAATTTTATTGAAACGTAAATTTTGAAAAGGATACTGCACAATAGAGTCTAATTGTTGAATTAATTCCGGCAGTTTGAGGGAACTTCTAGGGTCTCCACCCGATTATTCCAGTTAAGCGCTCACCATCGCATCGAATTCCGGTAAGTCTCAAATATCTTCAGCGGAGGAGAACGTTATATATTATAGGTAATTGTTATTCGGTGGCTCCTTCTGGCTTTCCTTGCATTGGGCTCCTCAAATCTCAAGTAACGGCAAAACTCTTCGTCATTTCTCTTCTGGTTCTGGTACACCTTATACCTCATTCCCTATTCCTTACTTCCTTATACCAATAGTAGTTTGCCATTCCATTCCATTCGCTTCTCTATCTTATTTCACGGGTGTCCTACATTTCACCAACTACCATAGAGGCAGTACCAAGATTTTCATGCTTCATATACTTATGCAAATAAAATTGACTATAACAAGCCTCTTCTTGATCTCTCACCCCCCCCCCCTCCCTATAGTTCAGCCGCCTTCGAGACTCACAATGACGTCATTTTGATAAATTCTATCTTTACATTTATTTCCATATATTATTTTATTATTCTTTCGTCGCAGAGCCGCGATCAAGAAGACTCATCTTTTATTATTCAATTATTCTTAATAACCTAACCTAATATTTAATTTAACATTTAGACAGTACCTATTTTTTTTGTTCTTTAAATTGCATTTATTTAATACACAATAAAGGAATTTCGAAAAGTAAATTCGTGATCAGTGAGAAAACTTTGAAAATTTACATTAATAATTTTTTACAAATTTATTCTGATGGCGAGGATATTTTTTGCGTAAAATCTTATTAAAACTCTAATAAATTGTTGTTTTAATATTAATATTGATAAAAAAAATCCTTTATCATTTCTCAAAAAGAAATAGTCACATTAAAAATTGATAAAAGTATTACGAGCTATTGTGTAAGCTCCTTATTCCTTAGACCGTTAAGATGTTTGTTTACAAACAATAATGTCTGGGAAGAACAATATTTAGTTTATAAATTCATAAAAATATAAAAAATAAAAATAATAAAAAATCAAACGACGTGGACTCTTTTTAGTTTAATAATAATATAACTTTTAAGTATACATGAAAAGTTTTAAAGATATATAAAGCTTATTTACCTTAAAAATTGTCAAGACTAAAGAGAATAAAAAATAGCCGTAGCCGGTAAGACTTTTGCAACTGACAGCAAGTAAACTACAAGAATATTGTATAACGAAAAAATAAGTTTTAAAAATAAATAAGACCTATATAATCTAAAAAGAAAATAAACACCGAAAAAAATAAGTTGAGGATGTGAAACGCTTGCTAGGTTTTTACTGCTCAGATAAACCTCCTATATAAGATATAATATAGAATGTGTAGGAGACAAACAAGAAGAACAAAAACAAGACTAACAACAAAAATAAAAATGAAAACAAAAACAAGAAGAAGAAGGAGATGGAAAACTAAAAGTATGAGTTTGCTACTTTAAAACATGTAAGATGGAGAAAGATAAAAGGATAAAGGCCCAATGATATTCACATTTAAGTTTGCGTGTGTGTTTTTGATGCTTGCTTGTGATATTATCGTGTCTTTTGCTATAAGCGAGTCAACTAAACATCGATTAAATTTATTTTTATTGTTATTGTTCCTCAGCTACCGAGCATGAAAGCTCAAATTATTTTATAAATAATTGTGACAGATAGTTATGTAACTTTGATAAAAATTTTAATTAACATTAATTTACATTCATTGCTGATTGCAGTTTTGATACTGACATTTTAATTGGATTTTATTTATAATACGACAAGATTAATCAATGATTAAAGAATACTAACGATAAGGGAATGCTAGTTTTATTTTTTATTTCAATGTTGTCATTAAAAACTAAAAAATTAATTTTTAATTTCAATTTTTAGCTCAAAAATGAAAAAAAAATTCATCAATTCCAAAGAGACGGTAGTGTATCGCACCAAAAAGACATTTACATCTCATTTAAAAACCCTTTTGATTGCAAGCAATTTAATTTCTCACAAGACAGATTTAAAAAAAAAAAACTAAAAGCTTTCATCCCTTATTAAATTCCAGTTTCAATATTTTAATTTCTAGTTACAACTCATAACTCATCACTCAGCGACTCTCAGTCTTCTCATTTTTTTAATGCTCGTTCCTTTATTCCTGTTCAACCCTGTCCTATTCTAGTCTTTACCCAGTAGTACACACTTGCTTCTCAACTCCTTTTGTCACCTTACAACCATTTGTTTGGCTCTCTCCTTCACTCCTTTTGTTTCTCTCTTATTGCTTATACACTATACCGTACTACCTACCAAGTTCCTCTATTATGAATTATGACATGTGTACTTTTATATGTGAGCTTTTGTCTTCGTCTCGGTGCAAACTACAAACTACGAGGGTGATAGACTGTTCAAGAATGACTGACAACTGTGTTCGACGGCTGTCATCGTTACAATCGAGATCGAGAGTAGAAAATAATTGCTATTACTATAACTTTTACAATTACAATAGTAAACAGGAACAGAAGCCCCAGAGATAATGACGGAGATATCTTTAAGAGAAGAATGTAATTGATGGAAGGAGTCGATTACTCTCCTTGACCCGGTGCGGTATACTTGAGCCACCCCGAGAGCTAAGTAATGGATGGTCTAGAAAAAATAACTGTAAAGAATTGCTGGATTGTATAACACACAAAGCCCGTGAAAATTATATTTAATGCTCGTGTTGTTGTTATTGACACGGGTTAAGGCCAAGAAATATCCGAGTCATTATTTTATTGAATTATGACTCTGGTAAATTTATTTATTTATTTAAGATAAATTTTCGTTAACTAAAATTTATACTTTTTTTCAGTGTGATTAAATATCAAACCGTCAAAGAAGTTTTTTATTAATAATTTTTATTTGAGGGAAATATTGACTTTGAATCTTTGATAAATTGGTGCACTTTAAAAATTTTGACTAAATAAATATTTAAGAATGAAATCAGAGGTCTGTAGTAAAAGTAAAATAAAATATCAACTGCACTGAAATATTTAAAGAGTAACGAATGCAAACATTATTAAATGCCGAAGTACAGAATAAAATAAACAAGGTTTGATTAAATGAGGACGTTATGTTACACTTGAGTTTAGAAGCTCAGGGCAAAAAAATAAGTGGAGGAAAAAAAATATAACTAATGATATAAAATTTATTTTCCAACCAACAAAATTATGCTTTAAAGAGGCCAAGTGTCAAAGCCCATTGAAGAAAAAAAAAATTAATTTAGCTAAAAGCTCATCACGCTAGTGGGTATTACATACTGGTATAGTATGTAGTGGGAGTAATGTGACGTAGAGCGTGAAGAAGGTATACCGTCGGGATAAAAAGTAGATAGAAATATATAAAATGAGAAAGAGAAAGAGAAAGAAATGAATAAGAGTAAAAAGTTGGGGAAGAAATTCAGGGAAATTATTCTGGGAATTGAAAAGTAGGTCCAAAGTCTTGCTGCATAGTTAAGAGACACTAAATTCGATATTAAAACGAACAGCAAATCCGTACCGCTTAATGCACCCTGTACTTAAAGCTAATTGGAATAAGAGTCTCGTTAATGTTTCCAGCCCGGTTAAGCTCCACTACAAAGTAGAGGTATAAAGACCCCACGACAATCCAGTGACGATCTAGCACAAAGTATGCATCCATATATACATTGTAATTTTACGAGAAATATGCGCGAGAGTAGTTTGCCTGAAATCGAGTGTAGTCTAGTTTAGTCTTGTGAATCTGGTTTAGTTTGGAAGTTTACAAAAGATTCTCTCAATCACGCGATGCTTTTTTATTCCCAACCCCGGAGAGAGTGTATTTATCCTGTTTCTTAAGCTAAGCAATCCACTATTTTTATTTAAACTCAGTTATTTTCTTTTTTTAGAGCAATAGTACTCGCTAAGTGGAAATCGATTACCTCCAAAGAATGCGGAATGAATGTCCGGGTGGGAAATTATTACAGGAAACTATTAGTCCACCGCCGTGAATAAACTCGGTTTGAATTTACAATTACCTGCAGAAAATTTTAACCTTTTTTTATTCTTCGACCATTTAATCGACAAATATAAATGTATTTGAAAAATTGATGAATTCCTTTCTAAGATCAGAATCTTTTTTAGAGAATGTCTAAATAAATTTTTAATAAAATCGAAAAGATTAATAGCTTTTATCGTGATTTCACTATTATAAAATATAATTATGTGTTATTTCTTAATAAAACAATTACCTAATCAGAAAATTAATGAATAAAATAATGAAAAAACATTTTATTACGACTTACAATTATTTAAGTAATAAAAAAAAATTTGATCTGAGATAAAACTAGACAAAGTAATGATAATTTAATGTTTTCCAAGTACTTTAACAAAGAAAATAAGGGAATAACTACCCTTAGTAGTTATCTCGCGTCACGATGAATATAAAGATAAAAAGCGAAACAACGTTAAAATAATTTCTCGGGTATTATAAACCGGGAACTCAATAAAAATGGTGATCAAGTAGGCAAGTAATATAATTTGTCATAACTAATCATAATAATAATGATCATAACAATAATAGAATTAAAAATCTGAATGTGAAGAAAAAAGCTTTAGCTTAATAATTTCTTGTTATTTTTAGTGAATAATAAGAATATACCCGTCAGAAAAATTTGCTTGTTCTCTTAATTATTTAAATAAAAATAATCATAAACATTGAGTAAAGTAGTAAAGTAACAACAAGTCGACTTACCCTCAAGTTCCACAACCTTGCCAGCCCGCTTAAGAGCCTTGACAGCTTCATCGTGGGTAGCTTCTCTTAAATCTTCGCCATTTACCGCGAGAATTGCGTCGCCGACGTACAGCTGCTCGGTGGCGTCTGCCGCCATTCCCTTGAAGATCTTCGAAATTAAAATCGGCATTTTGTTCTCCTTGCCGCCTTTTATTGAAATTCCCAGCCCGTTATTGTCACTCTTGACCACCCGAACAATGCGTTTCTGATTTGCAACTGAATCGGGAACATCAGGGTCGTTCAGACTGTCAATGTTGTTGTTATTGAGGTTCCCGTTGAGGGGGCCGCCGTTCCCCAGTATGTGCTCATAACTCTCGTCCAGGGAAATACTCAGGTAGTCATCCTCCAGGGACACATACACTCGGTACCACTGGCCTCTTACTTGGGTCTCGAGGACTCCTGCTCGACTGGTCGTCGTTGTCGAAGAAGACGCAGCTGTCGTCGTTGACGAGGACGAGGATGATCCTGGGACTGACGTCATTAGGTTTGGTAGCCCCCCGGAATTTAGTTGCCCTAACATCACTGTTGGTTGGCTGCTTCCGCTCAGCTCAACCATCTCGATTTCTTCGCAGACTGTCCGCTGGAATTTAGAATTCATTTTTTTTTTGGTTAATATTTATCAATAGCTAAATACCATTTAGTTCAATTTTATTTATAACATAAAAAGTTTTGATATGGGCTGACATGGGTTAATCTGAACGTATATGATAATATCAATTCCTATAATCTTGCATCTTAATAACAAAGCTTTTGTCATTTAAAGCGACAAGTTTGATAATTAGTATCTATCATTTCAAAAGCTGTTCAAGGTTAAAGTTAGATACATTTTAAATTGTCTTATCTGATTAATTTCATTTTTAGCAAAATTATTTTTCAGATGAAAATTCATCTCTATAAATTATTTTATGTCGAAAATATATTAATTAATAAAAAAAACAAAAAATAGCCACCAGTACACAAAAAATTGAGTAAAATTGGATTTCATTTATTATTACTGGTCATTAGCAACCGATATTATTGACATGAATGCCCAGCAAATGAGACCAAATAATTAACGTGACTCGCAGCAACAGTAACCAGAGTAATATAACTATAACTTTGACCATTTGGATATGGATTATAGTAATAGTAAAACATAAACAATAGAGCCCAGCATAAATCGAGTTACAATCGCTTCATGATATAAAATAATGAACGAGTATTAGCAATACGATAATGCTGAATTCGAATTGGAAATAATATTTATAGAGAATTTTGGTAACATGTTCAAATATGGTTATAAGTTATAGTTATAGTTATAGTTGGTAATAGAACGGACTAGCCGACAGCCGAAACGCAAAACCGCAGGCGTACAATCACCAAAAATAAAATTCAATTGATATTGACGTCGGAATTCTATTACTCGATCTCGATAGGATCCACATATGATGTATTAACATTGAACATACATGAATTTATCAGCTATAGAGTGCATAAAGGGTATTTGGTTTAATATAACAATAACAATGATTATATTTAGGTCTCAAATGATCGCATTTGAGCTCGATTATTTAACAAAACAGGCTATATATCTTCGGATAGAATCTCTATTATCTATTATCTGTTGTGTGTTGTCTCTTCTCCTTACTCTTTCTCTAATAAAACAACCATACTGGATGCCGTTGATTGCGAGGACGTACATAGCTGTGCAGATGCGAAGCGGTGTGAGCATTGATGACTGGCAAAGGGGCACCAAGCTGTCGACGAGAGAAAACCGCCACCGTTATGAAGCAAAACCGCCGAGTAATTAATACCACGGGCTTAATAATGAAAGCATCGATCGCGTGAGTAAGCGACGAGGCTTGTCACTGGACTCCGCCTTTATCTCCAGCCAATACAAAAAATACGATAAAAAAATTAATAATACCAATAGGGGGAAAAAAATTATTAAAAAATTAAGGGTTGTCAGAGGTTTTCTGCTGTCAAATTATCCTCTTGTTGAATTTAATTATATTTTTTCTTTTAAATCTACAAAAAAGACTTTTTATTATCTATAGTTTTTTTCAGAAAAATTTTCATCGTTTAAATTTAATTACAATTTTTGTGAAAGAATAAAAATGATAATCTGTAGAAAAAAAAAAAGAAACACTATTGCTATCAAACTGACGTCAGTCATAATAAAAGGCTTAAAAAATAATAATTAAATTTTTTTAGGACATTAATTAGGTCAAAGTTATTTTCAGAGGCGTAAAAAAAAATTTACGAAAACGCATATAAATATAGATTATCTTTATTAGAGGTACAGGTTAGTCTGTTTTTTATGCTTATTATATCGTATTATTATTATGCATAGAAAAATTCTATTCGCGTATCCGGATATGATGATAGTGTTTGAGATAGTGAATTGCTTTTTTTTAGTGATGGTGAAAAATTTAAGCGAAACGTCTGTACAACATGCGAGCCGCGAATATAGGATAGGATAAAAACATTTATATTACCTGCAGATATATACAGATATATATATATATATATATGCATATTTAGATTATACAAGAATAAAAATACAGGGATGCTCATATTTAGTAATGCAGAGAGAAGAGAAGAGTGGAGAGTAAAATCGTGTGTGCTTCTCCGAATGAAAAATAAATAAAAATTTAAAAATTCATATCAACTCGAATACAAACACTGAATATAACGGGATGTGCAGAGTAGTCTAGTGGAAAAATTTTGTGTGAAAAAACCAACGCGCTAAGTAATAGAGATATGTCATTTGTTTCAATACTATTTTCCTCACTTTTTAAATATTCAAATAATAAAACTCGCTTTTTAGATTCATTCGGATATTTACTCACTGTGGGAATTTAATCACTGGACAAATTAATTTTATCCATTCTTTAGAATACTTTTTTTTGTGATTTTTATTTTTTATTTAATGAATTATTGTGTGTCCATTTTTATGGTCTAATGTGAAGATAAAATTTTCAATATTTGCTCAAGTACAAGTGTAAGTAATTATTTAACAATTTTCAGAGTTCTTTAGGCAAGTGAATTTATAATTACTATTTTTGCCCTCTATAAACTACATTTTTCAATTATTCGATTTCGTACTTTAACCTTTATTAAATTATTATTATTATTATTATTATTATTATTGAATTTTAAAATCACAATAACAATTGTAATAAATTTTCAAGCCATTTTTTTTATTATTATTATTATTAATACGTTTTTTACATTGTATAAAAATTTTCTCACACGTGATTCTGTTTGAATGGAAGCCCAAACAAAAAATAAATAAAAACTTTTCGCATGAGCCTGTGTAATTCAAAAATAAAATTAAATTTAAAAAAAAATAACTTCAGCCGACATCGACGGACATTCGTGTAAATTATTGAGCGAATAATTTATCACGGGTTTACGGTGGGTGGTTAATTAAAAATGCAACAATCAAATCGCTGAGCAGTATTCAGCGTACTCTGTAGAGTAAGGCGGATATCACGAAATAAATTGAAGCGCAACAAATATTTGCTGTGTATTTAATCTCAGATAGAAGATTTATTATTAATAGGAAGAGCAATAATAGAGAAAAAATATATATATATAATATAATAAAATATATAAAGTATCTCATAAACCATTGGCTTATACAAGCCGGCTTAGATAAATCCAGAATTTAATATACGAACGAAACATGCAATGAGGAAAATCCATTTCATTTCCGAGGAGATTAACATTCTACGGTGATTATATTTGTTTTTAATCATTTTTTACTGTTTTATTATATTTAAACAATTCTTGTTAATTTCTTATGATACGCTGATTGAAAAATTGACTTTATTTACTAAGAAAAAAGTTCTTTAATCTAGAATTATTAATATATATAGATTAAAACAAGTGGCCAATATTTTTTATATCATAAAAAAATTTCTGATAATTTTAATTGTAATGAAAAGTAAAAAATAATAAAAATAATAATAATAATTGAATTGAATTGAATGTATCAAATATTATTCAACGGCAGCCACATTCTCGAGAACGAAATGCAGCATTATTGATATGCGATTTTATTCAATAAGAATTTTATTATCGGTTGGCCAGCGCTATTGAAAAACGGTATTGTGTGAAAATGTATTATATGTGTGTATAGATATGAGTATGCATGAATGTATGTTATAGGTATGTACAGAGCACAAGTCAGATTGAATTTCTTCACCAGCCGAGCAGTTTCCACACCCGATGCAAAATTGCATAACGCGGGTCAGATCCAAACGACACTAATGTCGCAGCACTGGGCTGAGCGGGGTGAACAAGGGGTGTCGACTATACTACTCGAGTTCCCTATCGATTTTCATCTCTCGTGACTTTCATTGTACGTGCATCTATGATAGTCCGAAATTCTAGTAGTCATGCATGGCAAATTTTTTCTTTCAACTCTGACTCTGACTCTATTTTATTTTCTCTATTACCCTTTTTGTCGTATCGAGCTTATTTTATTTATATATTTATTTTTATTTTTATACGTGAGCTAGGAATACAATATTCGAATTATCCCAATCAGAATTTACTCAGAATATAAAGACTGGTAATTTTTCATTTTCTGTAACAGATTTATAGTGAATTTTTCTTCAAATCAGTGGGTCAATATTTTTTCTATTTATTAACTTTAAAGGGAATTAAAATTCAAAGTATAGTTCTTGTATTTCTTTCTCTACATAAAAAGCACCTTATCATTTAATCTTCATTTTAATCATAACTCTACTCTCATACTTATTAATTTAAATTCATAATTACTGATTGATGACGATTATTGTTATCAACAAATAAGAAAAAAAAAAAAAGGTTGGGATGATTGAGCTGGTATTAAATAATTCCGTGGGTTTGTTTAATACGCGAGAAACGTCGCCTGATTCGCGAAAAAAACCAATAACTTGGCACCGGGGGGTTGGAGCCGGGTTGTTTATGGCCCTGGGGAGAAAGAGAATGAGCATTGAAGGTAAGGGAGATCTGGGAGGTTGGGTTTGTATCCCGGCATAGATATATACCATTATATACATATATGTATGAATGTAGATATGTAGATATACGTGTTCATGCATGTAGGAAGAGAATACGTGAAAGAGCGAGACGTAGACAAGGTGAAATAGGAAAAAAAAAAAACATGAGAATGGAAAGAGCTAAGCGCGAGAGTGAAACGCAAATCCACTTGTAACTTTTATCATTGAAACACGATCGAATGCATTTTTTGATTTCATTTGCATTTTTTTTAACAATACGTATGTATATAGATCCTCAATTCGATTTTCAATTCAACGGAATAACGGAAAAAAATTTCATTATAATTTACAATCACTAAAATAAATTAATATGTATATATTTTTTCTAAATCAATTTAAATTAAAAGTTTTATAATCTTGGTAAGATTCATAATTTATTTATATAAAAATTAATTTTATTATGTAGGATTTTATTCATGTGTGTTTTCTGAATGAAGACATTTGCAATATAGTTAGATTTTTATGAATTCTACTCATAATTGATACTTTGTTATTTATAAATGATATGATAAAAGTTATCAAGATTTATTTTCAAGACAAGATATGAGTATAATTACTTATTTGAGGGAAAGAAAAAGGAATCCAGGGGTTAAAGTGACGGGGGTCGATTAATTATGGAAGCTAGTGATATTATCTCGGTCAAGAGAGACCGGCAAAAAAATAATCCCGAAGAAACCCGCAAAAAATATATTCCTACTAAAGTGAAACTTTTTATGTTGAAAGTTGTACCTTTATTTTATAATAATAACTTTATTTTTATTCCTAAAATTTACCTGGGATATATTTTTTTTAATTATTGAATTTTTATTGAAAAAAATAATGGATGAATTTTAATTGTAATTTAATATTATAAAAACAGGTAATGGTGAATACAAACTTTTTTCAGTTCAATCTAGAGTAAAATAATAAATTCCGATTTTTTTCATTAAACCCGGCTATTTTATATTTTTCAGTATTGTAAATTATATTACAATTATAAAAAAAAACTTTGGGAGAAATTAGTTTACCACTGCGAAAATGTTTCGAATGAACCATTAATCCATTAGTCGAATAGAGCCTCATAAATAAATCATAAAATATGTACTTAAATTAAAACGAAAATTAGTGAAGCACTCTCGCATCATGTAAAATAGATATATATTTTTTCGTTTTTTTTTTTTTTTTTTCACTTCAAATCTAAAGAAGTAGGTCAATTATTTTATTTCAATGGAATTTATGGGGATCACGGATTAATATTTCCCGGCATCTAACAGCTTTTTATTCGTTATTTGCTATGAAAGGAATAAAATTTTTGTTAATAGAGTTCAGTATTTTTTTCAACCAAGAAATTAAAAAAAAAAAACACAAAAAAACGAATATAATGATAGAAGAATTGATTAATTATTAATAAATTGATTTGATTGAAAACAATTGATTTATTTATTGATTCTAAATAAATGTTCATCAACTGTTAATGAATATTTATTAAATCGTCGAATGTTAAAAAATCATTCATTAACAGTTAATGAAACTTTTTAAATAAATCAAAAAATTGTTCTATCGGTGAACTGAAAAAATAAAATATAAAAACTTGATGCTGAAGTTAGTTGACCTAATTATTGGATTGTTTTTAGAAAAAAAGATCAATAAAAAAAAATTCAACTTTTTAACAATGTATAATTAAAATTTTTTGGATAGAAAAAATATCAAAAAATTTACTAGTGTCTACTAACTTCAGAATTATTCAAATGCTTACTTCCAATTTTATACCTCAATCATGATAAAAATTAAGCTCGCCGACATTTCAAAATTTTTAGAAATTTTTTATTGAAAAAATTTCAACTAAATAATTAATAATTAAAAAATTAAAAAATTTTTAGACATCTGCTAACTTTAGTATTATTTGATCATGTCAAAAATCATAAACCCATGCCAATAAAGGACGATAACTTGATAAAAAATCAAATAATTGAAAACATAAGTACCTCGACTTAGAAAGAAACAATTAAAATCAGCATATTAGTAACAATAAAATAAACAATAAATATAAAAAGTAATTTACCGTTTTACGAGCGTGAATGGGCATAAGACTTCCGTTGGAGCAGGAAGTAAAACGTTCTTCCTTTAAGTACTCCACAATGAACGTTTTACTGATCTTATTTATATTAAACAAATATCCATGTACTTATATATATATATATATATATATTACAAATTATTAACACTCAGGTGGACGTCAATTAACGTTTGATGTCACTTCACGGTTAGTGACATAATCACTGAGCTTACTTTTGAGTCTTGACATTTTACTTTTTGTCACGCTGCTCGTAACTTTATTAATTCATCAATAATAAATAATTAATAAATTAAATAATCATTGTTTCTTCGATTTTTTAATTCAATTAATTATATCTAAATTTTTTTTTCACTGACAGAATTTAAAAACACTTCACTCCAAAAAAAAAAAAAAAAAAAAAAAAGACACTATTCACTTTGAAAAAATTTCCGCCATTTTCTTTTGCCGAAAAAATATTTTATAAATTTATGATTTGTCAATTAATAATTTGACAAGTTAATTAATTTAATTTAAAATTATTTATTTAATATAGAGACATTTTGTTTAATCTTACTCGGCGCGCACTGCACTGACACTTACAATTAATATAAAATAAAATATTTAAAATTCGCCGCAACAACAGAGACACTGACCTCCATTTACAATGCGTGTTTTATTGGGCGAATTATTACACGATGACTTGTGTAATATAATATGAGGAAGAATTATTTTAAAAACAAACACTTCACATATTTTATCGCGGAAGCCGGAGCTCGAATCAAATCATGGTAACTACTCAGCCGTCACGTGTGTACTGCTGCTGGGTAAGCGACTGAGAACTAAGCCGAGTCACCCTCGCCCCGTTAGCGTCTCGCGAACCGCCAACCGCCAATACCGGCAAGTTTATTTGAAAAGCGACGCTAGCGCTGCGCGGCGGGAGAACAAATGACACGCTTTGCGCAGGCGGGAAATTTTAAATTTAAAAATTCCGCAAAATAAAATTTTTATTTTTTAAATAAATTAATAATTTATTAATTAATGATTTAAATTAAATGTAAAAAATTAAAAAAACTTTTTTTTTTATTTTAAATAAATTTTATAATCAAAAATAAAATAAAAAATAAATATTGTTTCAATAAAACAATAATTAAACATGAAATATTTCTTGTTTTACATTGTTGTCCAATTAAAAACAAATATCGAAGCGCGATAATGGAATATGAAATAAAAAATATAAAATATTGGAGAGAGTGCTTTAAATACGGCAATTGTTTATTTTATCGAAGACATAATTGAATAACTCGCGCAATATAATGCTATGTAAATCGTGTAAATAATATAGATTAAGAGCTTATCGAAATTTGGATAAAATTAAGTAAATAATGTTTTTAAACGGCAATAAAGGTAGTATTTACAAATATATATATATATATATATATATATATGTGTTATATCCTACAGCAGACAAATATTTATATATCTGTATATATAATGGAGATGAAAATTATTTACAACGGATTTTCATCGTCGACTTCCGTGTAAATTCAATGAAAGTCAATAAGCCGATAAATATTCTCCGTTGTTTCGTAGTCGTCGGTCTTGTTGTGTTTTATTTTTTTATTTTTAGTTTTAAAATATAATAATAAAATATAAAATAGTAAATCGGCATTCCAATCAATTGTACTTGATTTATTAAATTCCTTTTATTTATTGTGGAAAAATTTTCAAGTATAAATCACGAGTTTTTTGTCAAAAAGAAAAAAAAAATACAATTTAAATTAAAATTAAACCATAAAAAAGTTATAATAAATAGCAGAGTAATCTTAGCGAATTGTTTGTAGAAAAAGCTTGTTATAAAATAATTTAATTTACGGTAGTAATCACCGGGCATTCCGCGTCATAGCCGGAAGAATTTGATTTAAAGGAGTGTAGTCTTGAGTGTGGAGGAGTAATCAAGTTCAAGTCTTCAGTCTCAAGACAAATAGACTAAAAAACAAAGAAAGTGATTTTTGAAAATGAAGATTAATTTATCGCTCACGAATGCCGATACATTAGCAGACACGAAGAGGGCGCAGCGTTGTTATAAAATAAATATTAATATAATTTTTTCCGTACCGATCATGATGATTAAAAGTTTATTATTATTCTTATAAAGATAATAATAATAATAGTGATGATGATAAATTTAAATAAAAAGCGATTGGAGTAATAAGGTTGGGGTAGTTATCGTATTCTTCTTATCAAGTCAACTGTACGTGTACCGAATCAGTGAAGATCGAATGGTATGAAAGAGAGTTTTGAGATGAACAGGGTGTAGTCTGTACCGAGAAGAGACTCAAGACTGAATTGAGATAAGGTGCGACTTTACGGATCGTAAGCTCGTCTTACGGAAACCGCCCCATCGCTCTTGTCTTCGGGGACATAAAAAATGAACAAATCTCCTCGAAGGAAAGAATACAGCTGAGTTGAAGAGATGGGGAGGGGAAGCCAAAGAAAGAAAAAAGCTAAGGGAAATAGTAAAGAAATAACGCGCGATAATTTTATAGTCTGCTCTTATTTTTCAGGTTGCTTTCCGTTTCTTTGTTTCCGTTCTTCGGAAGCGTCTTCTCACTCCTAAGCTTACTTCCTGTCTTCACTAGTTACTATTCGTGAGGCCCTACTACCTACCCCTTTTTTCTCACCTACCACCTGCTCATGCGTTAAATTAAATACGATTTACGAGCTCCCGGAGCTTTTTACATTTTTTTATTCACTCGGGTGAGAGAATCTTATATTATATTATGCTACTCAGTTAAAATATATTCTTCAATGCTTACTACTAAATATTCATTTTAATATGTCTAGACTATTTTTTAATTAACAATTTTTTGGATTCTTCAAAACAATTTATTATAAATTGGTAATTAATTAATTTTACTTAAAAATGAAATGAAACCTTATAAAATTATTTTTTAATCTAATTATTTAATAATGAACAATTATAAATTTTAATAATAATTATCGGATGAATAAAAATAAATTGTCTTAGAGGTAGGCCTTGATCCGTTGAACCATTCGTCGAACAAAGTCTTCAAGAACAGGCTGTCGAGATTTTCCCACGTCCATAACTTCCTCATGATTAGCTTCATCATGACAGTCATAATCAAAGACACAGAGATTTGTTATCAAGCTAAAGGCGAAGACTGTCAGGTTGCAGTGACGAGCTGCTATAACTTCATGAGCTGTTGACATTCCTGAAATAATTTTTTCACAATTATTATCACTAATAATGATAATTATAACAAAGAAAGAAGAAATAAATAAATAGACGTACCAACAGCATCAACTCCAATCATCCTCAGCATTTTAAGTTCAGCAACTGTTTCAAAACTAGGTCCCCCTAGGCAAGTATAAACTCCTCTGTGAACAATATCTGATAGTCCCATTTCTTCAGCAACTTCCTGTCCGACTTTGAGAAGCTCACGATCGTAAGCTTTATTCATCGGCGGAAACCGTGGCCCAAATCTCAAAACAAATAATTTATTTTTATTTAAAAAAAAAAAAAAAAAAAGACAATTTTTCTACACCCTTTTGGCATTAGTAACGCGATATCATGAAATAAGATTTTATAAAATAGCGATATGAAGAAGAAATAAGTCGAGTTCCTAGCGAAGGATAAATCGAATTTCCGGGAGTCCGCAAAGTAATTCCCAGTAGCGGGTGCGGCTGTTTTAGACACGTAACTAGATACAGACACAGATACAAATAAAGATATAGATATAAATGATAGCTTGATACTAAAGAGGATAGAGTAGAGATAGAAAATCGAGGATCTAGGATCTAGGATCTAGGATCTACGATCTACAATAGAAGCCCAGTGACTAGCCGGTGGTGTGTAGGTAAGACGGATTCCGAGAGACTAAAGTCCATTAATATCGAGACGAGTGGCCCAAAAGAACAACTAAACCGGTGATAACGAAAAAGAATGGAGACACCGCGCGGTCTAGTGATAGTAAATACTCTACTCTCTGTTCTCCAATAGAGTATAAAGTATAAAACACCAAAGCTACTACGACTAAATAAATAAAATCAAGTCTTTAAAGCTACTGCTGTTGTTGCTGATGATTATGATGAATAAGGTGGTAAAGTTAAAAAAATATTTAATAATTTAATAATACCTGTCGTCGTTGGGCCCTTGCAAGGGGTTGTTACCCGCGAATCCCATTATGTTGAGGTGATCTTGGACGAGCATTATATCTCCAACTTTGTAGTTGGGGTTCAATCCTCCGGCAGCGTTTGTTGCTATCAAATGTGTAACTCCAATCAGCTTCATTACTCTCACGGGCATTGCGCACTGAAATATACAATCAAAAATTATTATTATTGTTGTTGTTGTTGTTGTTGTTGTTATAGTAAAAAAAAAAAAATAATTTACCTTCCAGAGAGGATATCCCTCATAGTAATGAAATCTGCCTTGCATGCACATTATCGGAACATCCTGCAAATATCCAAAGACCATCTGGCCGACGTGGCCCTTGACCGTTGATTTGGGAAAGTGCGGGATATCCTCGTAGGGGAAGATCTGCTGCTGAGTCAATGATTCCGCGATCGAACCTGGACACAACTCACTATGCTCAGACTCGCCTGGTCACAAAAAGTACGAATTTTTTTTCCAAATATTTGTCATCAACTCCCAATTTTTTTTTATTTTATTATCTTTTTATTTTAATCCAAAACAATTTTATAATTTTGATTATTCATTTAACGATAAAGGGTCAAAAATTATTTATTTTTTTTCCTACAATTAATTGAGAAATTGGGAGTTTATTTATTATTTATATAAAAAAAAAAAATAAACTTAATACTTACTCATTCCAGAGCCGCAAATAATTCCTATTTTAGGTCGAATCGATGTTCGGTCCAAAAGATACCGCGCTGTATCTTGCAATACTTCAAATGAGTACCTGCAAAATAAAAAAGTTTTAATTTAATTTAAAAAACTTTTAATACTTTTAATAAAATAATTTAACGTCATACATTATGAAATTAATCTATACTTTGACATTTCTTATCAATTATCAATTATAAAAATAAGATGCAAAATAATTCCATTATTTTCATTAAATTAATATAAATTTATTATTATTATTAACAATAAAAACAATCTAATTCGTTTCGAAATAATTAAATCATTTATTATCGTTTAATTAATATCATGAAACATTTAGTTGGTCGGATATAATTAATAATAATAATAATGACTATCCAGAAGGCAATATATTAAGTGAACCGAGTAGAGACCGAGAGGCGGAACGTTGACATATTAAATATATATGACAATCAAATATCTTCGGGTTTTAATGCCTGCTGCCTGAGTATTAAGTTTTGGGTTATATTAGTACATATATAATGTATGTATATAGTTAGACATATAACAGCCATGACATCAGTATCAGCATCAGTGAATCTGGATTTAGATTCTGTATCGGTGCAGTCTCTCCTTCTTTCCCCTTCGGTGCAATGTGATATTATATATTATAGATAAAAGGGGATGGAGGAGAAGGTGTAAGACATAAGACACAGGAGACGATAGAAAGCATCCAGGCATTACATATATATCACTGCTTCCACAAGTTACTCCGGAGATCTTAACTGGGATTCGAGGCATAAGTAAATGTCTCCATGCGCATCCATATACTCTGCAATCTGTATACGGGGGGTGATTCTCCAATAGGGGTAGTTACTCGAGCATAAATACACATCGACACTGGTTATATTGCTCTTTACAGACCCGACACTCAGCAACACTGATATTCTATGCACTCTACGCAGCGTAACTTGTGCTTTAACGCTACTTGATACTGTCATATTAACTTTATCACTTTTACGCTACTTTTATCTTCATTTCGTTTATTATCTATATTATTAAGAGAATAAGAAAAATTTTGTGAAAATGCCCTATCTCTAGATACATAATTAAAAAATAACCTTGTATTCTCGTGAACTATTGACATTTTTAAAGATATAAGCTCATCCCGACATTACACTCATTAAGACCTTTCATTGTTATATATATATATATATGTATATATGAAAAATATATCAAAAATGCATGTGGGTACTCAAATGAAAGCTCTTGATAAGTGTAACATCAAGATGAGCTTATATCTTTAAATCCGTCAATATTTAAGAAAGTACAGTGCAATTTAACAAAAGTCATTATTTAATAAAGCAAAATTTTATTTATTTATAGTTCACAAGTCATGGCAGTCACATAATGACTACAAGGTTGCTAGTTAATATTATTATTAATAAAAAAAAATAAAAATTTATCTATTTAAAAAAATAATAAAAGGCGAATAGAACAAAATAGCGGATTGTAATTATTAAAAATCGATATAATAAATGATAAAATTGAAGTTTACAGTCAATGAGTTAATATGGTTAATTTATTAGCCTACAGGGAGATAAAATAATCGATGTGGAAATACATATATATATATATATATCTATAAAATATAGTATGTAGCTATTGTACGAACATGGATAAAGAGCCATTAATTATTTAGCGTCCTCGGTACAAAAGCTCAATAGTAAAAGTCGTTATTAATTCGATGAGGGACGTGTGCTGTTGTGTGCTGTTGTGTACTTCACTCTGCGGATAGTAAAGGTGAAAAGAGTTCCAAGCTCTTCTGTTAAATTCAAACAGCTTTTCATGCTTCTGTACTCTCTATCATATACAATATATATATATATATATATGTGCATTAATGAATCAACCGAACAGAGACGATAAATGATAGCGTGAAAGGTGAACTTAACTCCACATCTGAGAACTGAGAACTCAGAACAGAGAATAGAATGAGGGTTTTGACGATGCGAGCTCGCTTACACTTTAGTTGTTTTGTCGTTAAAACTTTTTGCAGGGTTTTAATATTTATCATAAAATACGTTCGAGGATTCCCCTATAAACTTTCTATATTTATATAGCTAGACTTCATCTAAAGTTTTAAACACTCCATAACTGTAAACTGTAATAATCTACAACTAATTTTGATAACATATATGTTCACCATATTATATTCCAAGTTGTTATCATTGTATCAACAGTTTACTAACTAAAGATTCAAACATGTGGTTTGGATATTAATTTTTAGATATTGATGATTCTATTAATTTGTCAGCGGAATAACAATGCTGGTGCTGGGGGTAATAGGTTCAGATCGCGCAATAATAATTCGGGTTAATAGTTTATCAGGAAATAGTTTATCTCGCGGGTGGGTTTATTTTATGTGGGCATTATATTTAACGCATCAGTTGACTGCTTTTCCAATTAATCATTTCTAAAAGTTTCAACAATTTTTTTTATTTGTTTTTCAAATTTATATTACATGTAATAGTTAAATTTATTACCGCAATATTAGTTTATCAAAACAATATTAAAAAAAAAAAATTATCCCAAATCAAATGGTTGTAATTTACATAATTTTCCTTGAAAAATGTAAATAACCTTTACAGCGAAGAAGAAATAAATAAATATAATTTCCTGTTCAAATAATTGCCATCAACTCCAAACGAATTTCAACCAACCACATTATACTTATTATTATTAATATCAAGTCCATTGACCGTCTTCAATACAGCTTTTCATCAAGCAAACTGCCATTAAAACCTCAATAATGAATTAAAAAAATAAATAAAACTTACGTTGAATGAGGAACATGTTTGACAACTGCATTGAGAAACTCGTTTTCATTGGATTTATCATCCACACCATTTCCATTCGTAGTGTCCAAGAAAGGCATTGTTTTCCCAGTAAAGTCACTTGTTACTCAAATCACTTTTTCTTTTTTATTATTAATTATAATTAATATTGAAAATAACAAAGTCTGAGTATTGGTCTAAAAAAAATAAATATTTACCGTGGATGGTTAAAAATAAAAATAAACAGAGATAATTACAAGTGTCCGTAGCGAATGCTCGCGGAGGAATGTCACAGTCAGCCACGACGAGCTGCTTTATAAGTGTATTAAGAAGTAACTAATATAATCCATCAGAAGTATATATCATGTGAAAATGAAAGAGGCGATTGGAGTGGTGGCAAGTTTTTAAGTTTAGAAAAATTTTATAACTACTCAAGTAGTTTCAGGGTGTAGTACCACGATAACCCGGTGCAGATATTTAAATGCTCTAATTGCTCGGCGAGGCCATTTCTCCCTCTTTCTTTATATTTCTTATATTATAATACATGTCTTCAGCCAACTCAACCGGTTGATATCTGCTAACACGCACGTTAATTTTTCACCTGCTGCTGCTGCTGCTGCTGCTGCTACTGTTGGAATTTAGAAAGGTTTAAGTTCAATATTTCATTTTCATTTTCATTTTCATTAGATTGTTTGTTTTAATTATTTCGATTCTCTATTTTATTTTATTTTTTTATCCATCTGTCAAATTCAAAAAACAATTAATAAAATTGACGGATACCTGATTTTGATACCTGATCAATGATCATCAATTATTGGAATGAAATGACGAGAGTAATAAATTAGGAAATAATTATCAATTAGTTAATGACAATGATAAGAGATTGATTAATATATAATACAGAGTATGAATATTATATTATACGTATGGTATAGAGGTGGAGAAAGATTACAGATGATACATATTGAATGTTACATCACACTTGAGCTGCCAGTTAGAATGATTAATACACTATTTTGTATATAAATTAGTTCGATGGTGTGATATCTCTTTTTTCCACGCTCCTATCCAGTCCCTTTACTTTCTACATTCTATTCAAAATTTAATCAATCATTCTGGAGTCATACCGCTTTATTATCATCAGTTATTTATGCAACACACACACACGATTTTTTTAGTTATCTCTTACTGTTTATTTTTAATATTATTCAACTTGATTATTTTTATGAGAACAATAATCGACTTGACTTCATATCTATTGACGTCAATTCATTTTTATTAATGATTGTATGGATAAATAGGATTAATATCACGACATAAAGAGTATATATTACTTTTTAAAATTTTACTTGATATTTTATCATCCAAGTTAAAAATTAATTTTTTTTTTTTTTCATTGATTATTTGAAGAAAGTAATGATAAAATAGAGAAAATGTATTACAGTTTGTAACTAAACTTACTATTTCATAATTTAAAATAAAAATTTACTTTTTAAAAAAGTCTTGACATTCAAAATAAATTTTTGAATTATATTCCAATAATTACGTTTAAAATGTTTGGAAAAATTTTTTTTAAAAATAAATAAATAAGTATTATTACTGATTGACACTTATAAATGATTTCCGATGAAAATATAATATTTTACAGACCCCCAGGGATTCTTGACAAGTATCACTTGACCTCAGATCACGATATCAGAAGCAAACAACCACTCGAAACATAATAAAATATAGTGCCATACTACAACAAACGATCGATGATCATGAAAATTCTCGACATTGATTTTATTTCTAGTTATTTCCCTATATTCTTTATATAATTAATGTATTTTAATTATAAATTATTTGAAATAACCGCAATAACAACAACAACAATGATCATTAAAACAACAAGTTTAATTCAATAAATTGAATTGTCAAATCCACAAAATTTATTAATTAATATCGGTGTTATGTTTATCATTAATTAACTGTCGACCTCACACGGGCGAGCTCTCCAAAAATTCCAATTCAATTTATATTTAATTATCCGCACATAAATATATCAAATTTATCGGCATCGCTGTTATAATTATAATAATAATAATAATAATAATTATTATTATTAATATAGTTATTTGATTTGAATAACAATTATAATGTAGTTATGTGTTATGTGTACATATACATTCCTGTTTATATTTATATTAAGTGGGATGATGATGATGATGATGATGATGATCGGTATAATCGCCGTCATATATAAATTATAATATCTGTAATCGTATAAAAAGATTGACCCCAAAACTAATAATCAGCTTATCTACAGCCGATTAAAACACTTATGGCATTAATATTTAGCCGATTATTTACGTTAATCAGTAATACCAGCAGCAAAATAACATTATTATTATTAATTCTATCACAATATTATTTCACAATAATATTTATTATTTATTTTGCTGTTTTACTGTCGCTCTGTTGATGTTTATATATATATATTTTATCTATCTATTAATTTTTTTTTAATTATTTTCACAAGTGTGATTTCTTTTTTACAGTTTTTACTTTTTTTTTTTTACTAAAAAAATATGCAGAGTAAGGAAATTTTCATTCTATTCCATTGATATTAATTAAAAAAAATTTTTTTTTTATTTACCTAACTAACATTAATATCCTCGTTAATTTTTCATTCTTTATCACCGCAATCATTAAATTAAATAGTTTATTATTGAAAATTATTACAAGTATGACTGATTGAAAATAAATAAAGTAATAAACCCAATTACAAAAAATCCACTCACTCAGTATTAACATACTCTCGCATATTGCAATAATAATTACAGTGGCTTTCAATTAATAAAATGTCTGAACAATTAAAAAATCTATCAGTATTTAAATCCGCGCGTTAAATGAGTAATTAATTACAGAGCAAGGTTAATAATTATAATATGATATAATGAATAATGAATACAAACTATTGCTAATGATAAACGACTAACGAGAATTTCCTAATGAGGACAAACTGGAATAACAGGTAATTAATAAGGTATAAGGTAGATAATATGAATAACAAGGGTATATAATATTTAAGATAATACTTGAAACCAATCCAGTCACCTCCATATGGTGCATGTATTATCCTTACTTGCGGTGACTATCGTGTCACCATTATACGAGAATGCACAGCTGAAGACTTCATCTGTGTGTCCAGCTAAACTTTGCATACACCGGCCAGTTTCTGCTGACCATAATCGTGCTGTTTTGTCAAGCGAACAAGTCAATATACTGCCGCCGTTAGGGCTAAAACAAACTATTATTTGCTTGTGTAATTAATTTACTTCATTAAAAGAGTTATTTTCTTGTTTAAATTCAATTTAATTATTTAATAAATTAATAAAAACCCTTGGAAACTTCTTCGCGGTGTCCTTCGAGCACAACAACCTTCCGAAAATCTCCAGTTATGTCCCAAAGTCGCGCTGTAGCGTCACAACTAGCGGTTGCTAGTTTACTGGCCTGGTTATTTAGCGCCAAATCGAGGACCTCATCTTCATGACCAGTTAGAGTTCCAAGACAGGAACACATTCTTACGTCCCAGACTTTAGCAGTATTGTCTAGTGAGGATGACGCTATTAGTCGGCAGTCAAAACTGTACAGGCAGTTTGATATTTTCCCGTTATGACCTACCAGGGTTGTAATTTTTCTAAAATAAATAATGATAATAATAATAAATTCTTTTAGCAAATATTATTTTTATTAAATAAATTACTTGAATATCCTGGTGTCCCAAATATTGATAGTGTTATCAAATGAACCAGTAATTATCTGATTACCATCATTGTTGTAGTGTAAAGAAATAATTTCACCAAAATGGCCCTTCAATGTTCCGACTTGTTGTCCTAAAAATATAATTATTGTATTTATTGTTTCAAATTTTCAATTTATTAATTGTACCTGTGTCAATTTGAAAAATTTTGGAAGTAGTATCCATAGAACCAGTGGCGATTCTCAACTGACTGGGTGAAAATTTAACAGCAACAACTTCTGCGTCATGGCCCCAAAATTTGTGAAAACAGTGGCCAGTTTTTGAACACCAGAGGTTCGCAGTTTTGTCAAACGATCCGGTCAATATTTTGTCGCTAATTTGAATGATCATAGAGCGATCATGAATCATCAATCATTTATGGATTATTGATTATTGATTTTATCGTTTATCGTCATATGATTTAGTAACTCACGAAGTCGGGTTGTTGAAGGACATGGCATAGACTACATTCTTATGGCCTTCGAGAGTAAGAAGCTCCTTTCCACTGTCAATGTCCCAAACTTTACAAGTTCGGTCATAGCTGCCCGTCAGGCATCTATCAATTGTCAAAATCAATAATTTTATAATTAAATAAACTAGTAAATTTTTTTTTTAATTGTTTAAAATACCTTTTACCTAATTTATCAAATGCAATATTAGTCAGCGGCAACAAATGGGTCTTGAGTGTCTTGTACTTGTAATAATGCTTGACGCTGTCGTCACAAACTTTTGATTGGAGTTTCAATAATGTCTCCTCTAATTGTTCCATTACACTGTCCGTTATTATCGGCTCGTTATTTTTTATCCTCAATGCCAGCGCTTTTATGTCAGTCCTAAAATTTGACTTTGATTTTAATTGGGAAATTCAATCACATACCACATATACTATATATCTCCACAACTAGTTCATTATTTCAAAAATAATTACTTGGCGTCAAGATCAAGCAAGTCGATCATTTTCGTCTTCACCTCTCCACTTTGAATGTACTCCAGTGCAATTCCTTTAATTTAAATAAAAAATTTAAGCGTTTTAATTTTCTAAATAAATGAAATGAATTGTTATATATATACCTGGCGGAAAGTAACGCAGCAAAAACTTGAGAAGTCTCATTGTTAATTCACTTGACGAAAAAATGCGAAACACGAAACCGTAAACGGAGTATTGCTTCCTTTGTCTAGATAAATTTTTTATATATGTATATAAATAGATAAATGTTGGTAAGCTTTTAAATTGATTACACGGATTCCATTTTATAGTCCACCTCGCATTTTCCTTAACAAATTACTGGAGCGATAATGGATTTTTTTTTCGTAAATGCAAACAAATTTAATACTTTGCTTTGATTTTAACAATTTCTTCCTTATAATAGCTACGCAATAATTAATTTAAAAATTAGTTTTATTTTAATATCCTCTTTTTATCGAGCACAAATTATTACTGAACTTGGTACTAAATTCGGTAAACATATTATCGACTTTATTGCTAGTCGCTGTTTGGTCGATATTTACTTAAGAGTTTTATTTTAAGATTTAAAAATAAAATACTGTTAATAGAGGTAATTTTTTTATTTTTTTACGATTATGTCTTCCTTTTAACATGTTTTTTTTTTTTTTTTTTTTTTTTAAATTATATAGCAAGAGAAAATCAGCTGGTATATATTTTAATAAAATGGGCCAGCCGTCAAATAAAAAACAAAATTAATGGCTACTTTGTTTTCAAATAATTAAAAAAAAAAATTTATCGCTAATTCTAACTGCAAAATAATTGTTTAAATACAACAATTTTCTTTCTTTCAAATAAATTACATAAACTATAGTGTTATTATACAGACATAAAATACTTTTTTAATTATCCATTTATGTAATTTTAATCTGCAATTATATAAACTCTGTAAGTAGAGTAATTAAATATTAAATAACTGTTTATGCATAATTTTATTATTATAATTATGTTAATTTTGTATCAACAATGGATTAAGAAGCGCTAACATTTTATAAAAAAAAACACTAATTATCAGTCGAGTAAGAAGAAATAGAAGAACAGAAGAAATCCGGTAGATGGTGCCAACGTGTTACTACAGGTCGCTGTTAGTATAGTAAAAATTTCATTCATAATCAGCTGTTGCGACACGGTAACTATAAAAATAGTCAATCTAAGTAATAAACATTGTAATTACAAATGTCATTTGACGTTTCCATGGTAACGTTCTAATAAGAAATTTACTTTTTTAATTATCAAGTGGATACATATCTTCAAAAATGTCAGATACTACGGAAAGATGTATTTTTGAAGCGGAATGGTTTGATAATACCGCTGGATTACTTAAAAAATTTTATTTGTACTTTTTTCCTGGTGATAATACTATTGAATTGGTAAGAAATTTTTATTTTTTATTATTTGTAATTTTAAAAAATTCTTTCAAGTGTTTATTGTTATTTTTTTAGTTTGACATAAAAAATAAGAAAACTTTTCTTCGGAGGACAAAATGCCAAGGCGTAAGTTTCAAAAATTTATTCATCGGCTCAGTTGTCACGATATTTTCTCGACCGATGAAGATAATTGATATTGCGGATGAAGCAACTAGAAGCCGATTGAGTAAAACAATGCAAAAGTAATATATATTTTTTTACTATACTTGTTACTTTATAGCTTTTTTAATTTTTAATAGTAGAAAAAAAAATTTAATTACTTCATCAATTTTAACACTTAAAAATAAATCGAGGTTGCAACCTAATTTTTTAAATTATAATAACAAATATTTAATAATTTAATAATTTGTATGTATTAAATAATCAATTGTGTCATCATTAAAAATAGAACTGGAAAAAACTTATAATAAATAATATAACTAAATTTCAACACTTGATTTCTTTTTAAATTAAAAATTTATCACTATTTAATTTTTAAAAAATTGAATAAATTTAATATAAATTTTTTATATTGAAGGACATTTGGTTTACTAAGACCTGAACTTCTGAATAATCTGGGAGAAATATTGAGACTAATAACCGCTCATGATCTTCACATCGCAAACATTAAAATGTGTAGATTGGAAGAGTGCGACGTTGAAAAAATCAATAAAAACCCGTAAGATATTATTGACATTGCTAAATAATTATTATTAAATTTAATTATGATTTGTAATTATTTTTGAATGTTCTTTAGACGCATGAAATGTTATTTAGCTTCAAAACCAGTCGTAATATTAATGTTAATAGGTGACAATGCCATAAACCGCTGGAACGAATTAATTTGTTTGAGTGATAACACTTCGGGAAAGCCAGTGTCATTGCGTGAGCGTTTTGCTAAAGACTCCAAGGATGATTTGTTTTATGGGTCACCGAATATTGATGTTGCTGAACAGGTACTTAACTTTTTTACCTTCATTCCATTCCTTCTATAATATTCTTCGCTTCGCTCAATTATTTGTCCTTGGCTATTTTCAACAATAACAAATTTATCTATACGAATAAATAAAATTAATCATCGGATTTTTAATTAGGAACTTAATTATTTCTTCCCAAATTCAAAACTAAAAAAACACAAATTTCAAAACACGGCGACCACTAAAAATTGTACTTGTTGTATAATAAAACCTCATGCGATACAACAAGATTTAATCGGTAAGTAAATAAAATCATTGATTACAAATCAATAATAATAATAATAATAATAAATAAATGAATCTTTTAAAAGGAAACATTATAGAAGATATTCAAAAATCCGGTTACACAATATCCGCGCTCCAGCAATTCAATATTGATTCGATAATCGCTGAAGAGTTCCTCGAAGTGTACAAAGGCGTGCTGGCAGACCACGGGGTATGTTAAAAAAATTTTTCTAAATAAAAATATTTTCGTAAATTATAAAAATGACAAGCACAAGTACTAGCAATATTTCCAAATAATATTTTTATTAACATTAATGCAGTAATAAGACAATTGGAATAATTATTCAATGAAGCCAAGGCCCGTAATCCACTTATTTAATTTAAAAAAGTGAAACTCTGTCGCTGAAAAAGTTTTTAAAAGTGACTAATTTCAAAAATTTATTTTTGTAACAGGCTATGGTGGCGGAGTTCCAGTCCGGGCCTTGCGTGGCCATGGAAATAACTCACAAGGATCCCAAGATAAATGTTCCAGTGGAGTTTAGAAAATTTTGTGGTCCAATGGATCCGGTATTGTTTTTTTTTTTTTTTTATTTTTTTATTTTATTCCGGTCAGATTGTTACTTGATATTTATTAAATGTCTACAGGAAATTGGGAAACAAGTGAGGCCAAATACTCTGAGAGCCAAGTACGGGAAAACTAAAATTCAAAATGCTGTTCATTGCTCGGATTTACCAGAAGATGGTTTGCTTGAGGTAATTATTATTAATTTATTAATTTAACTGATAAAATTGTATTAATTCATTTTACAGGTAGAGTATTTCTTCCGTATCCTGGATGGTTAGAATTTACACGGTTAATAAAAACATATCAATGAAGTGTTTGATTAAATAATACTTTTTGTAATTTTATAAATAAGCAAATAAATAAATACGGATGGATTAATGGTGAGCAATAAATAAAATTTTAATGTCTGATAAGGTATAATGTTCTCATAAGTTACAGTTAATAATCAAGATCAGCTCGGCAGTATAATTGCTATTGAAAAAAAAATGTATCGTAACAATTGCTCTGATCGTAATACTAAGAGGAAAAAAAAAAAAAAAAAAAAACAAAACCGTAATGTATGTTTATTATTGCATAAGAACGTAAAAAAATTTATGATAGTTGTGGTATTTCGCACATTCCGCAGATGACAAAATAAATATGTGAAAAATTTTTTATAAATTATTACATATTTTGTTATGATTCAGTTTTTATTTATTTTCGTTGAATTAGTTTTTGTTAAATAAATATTTGTAAGTTTTAGCTTTAAATTAATAAGAAAAATTTAATTAAATTTAAAAAAAAAAATTAATTAAGATATCAAAACTCATCTTGACTTGAGCAATTAACAATAAATTAATTACTCTTTAGATAAATCCAAGACAGAAAAAAAAAAAAAAAAAAAAAAAAAAAAAAAAAAAACAATACTGAATGAGTAATTAAATGTAGTTGATATACGAAACCAGGATTTAATTTTATTACAGGGTCATCTGATGAAAAATCGAACACAATCGTTAATACAAAGAGCAATCAGTTTACAATACCAAATAAAAATACTAGTAATATAATAATAGTAACAACAAAAAAGATATACTGGCAAAGTAGCATCAGTGAATTCTCATTGGCTTATTAGGAAATTAACTTCCGTTCTTGTCGTCGACACGGTGGATCGGCAATATTAAGAGCCAGTTCCAAGTATGACATCGACTCGCGTACTTCGCGCTTGCACTCTCATTTTCTCCCAGTCATTCATTACCGACAAGTCCTCCCACTTATTTCTTCTCGAGCTTCAACCATTCAATTTTTGAAAATCAAAAAACAAGTCAATCAATCGACGATCGCAAGAGGTGTTATAATTCAATATAAATACTAATAAAATATTTTTTTAATCAACACATTATGCAACAGTGTTAGATTTAAACAAAGTGGAGATTCATGAAGGCCGTGAAGTGATTTATATAATAATTTTATCATTTTTATAATGACTTAATCAGAGGAAAATTTTTTTCCAAAAATACAAACGTTGATTTGTTTTTTTTTTTTTTTTTTTTTGTTGAATAAATTTGTTAAAAAATAAAAATGCTGCTGATTGGAAGCTTCTTTCGGCGAATCACCAAGGACTTACGTCAAAAAGAATTACTACCATTGAAACTTATATTTTTTGTCCAAGCGTCAAGTAAGTTATTGCTAATTATTCTTTTGAATATGTTAAAAAATAGTTAAGTTAATTAAAATTAAAATAACAAAACAAAAAAATTTGTTTATAATCAGCGTTGTACGTGCTCTATCCTTATCTGACGATACACATGAGAGAACTCGGAATAAATGTCGAAGAAACGGCAATTATGAGCGCGGTAACTCCGTTCATAGCAATTGTGATGCCACCGGTCGCTGGAGTCGTCGCAGATCGAATAGGAAATTTCAAGGTAAAAGATGGAAACTCATAAAAGAGATTACAAAAAAAAAAATAATAGAGTGAAGAAATAAAAGAAAAAAAAATTGCTTAGATAATGCTGTCGTTCTTCTCGTCACTGGGAGGCGCAGCCGCGCTTCTGCTGCTGCTAGTTCCAATCGGGAGAGTCACTGTTAAGTATCCAGACCAACTAGTAATGGATTTAGGCTGCTCTAGAAATGATAGTAATATAATAATTACGATTAATCAAATGAATCATCATTGTGATAATCGTGTTAATCCTGATATAATGGCGAGAGTACAGAGCTGCGGTTACATTTGCCACGTTGACTTGCACAATCAGACTCATCTTGACAATATTTTGACGGCTAAGGCTTATTCCGTCGAGTTCTTCTACGACCACTACAATAACGAGACCTCCTCTCACCGCGTTCAATATAAAAGGCCTTTCAATGATTACAATCAGGTAAAATTACCACAACGATTACTAGAATATTATTCTTTTTCAGAACTTTCCAAATATTTATTCAGCTTTAATATTTTTTATTATCACAATATTTATAAGAAGATAACGTTATTTTTATTCATTTAATTAAATATATATTTCTTAAGCAATTTTTGTTTGTTTAAAATGAATAAAATTTTTGGGTAATTAAGATTTAATTACCTTAAACTTGAGGTCAAGTTCATTTAAATCGATATGAGATATAAAAAATTAAGATTGTTTTTGATAATTATTGATTTTATTAATAAACTAGGAAAAAGTATTAAATTTTGAACGAAGAAAATAATTGTTATAAAAAAAAAAAAAAACAACAATTTTCTTGATTCGTTTTTTTATTTGAAAAAACTATGACCTCTAATTTTCATTAAGATTTTTTAATGCTGATAAAATTTCTACATTGTAGGCAATTTTAGTATCCAATTTCGCAAATTATACTTAATTAAACTCAAATGATAATAAACCGGTATAATTTCTAAAAGAGGATTTTCCGGTTTTAGTTAAATTAACAAACAAACTTCATTTCTTTAACACTTATTAAAATTTGTTTAATTACAAATAAAAAATTTTGAACTTTTTAATCAAAATAATTTCCTTGGTTCAAAATTTTTTCTCTTAATTTAATTTAGATAAATTTGTTGAAATTAAAATATAATTATGAATAATAAATAAATTATTTTAAAGACTGAAATGACACGAAGTGAAATAATGGAACACCGTACATTTAAAAACAATGAGTTTTACAACTCTTGCATACGGCAATTATCACGTAGCACGGTATTCTTTCCCACGGATAATCATTTGGAATTCACCTGTCGCACTTCAAACCACCTAGAAACAGAAACAAACACCACTACTGACAGAACTGTCTGCAACTTTAAGCAATCTCCCACGGAAATATCTCCAGTAAGTGGACGGTCAAAATAAAGATTGATAGCCAAAATTAATTAGGCTCTTTTTTTAGGACCCCCATGACCGAGGCTTTACCGGGAAAGCCCGAGTACTCGCGGATTCTGATTTGGACGTTCTGGAGAAAAGAAAGAGGCTGATTTTGGAGAAATTGAGCAGCGGCTCGGAATGGAATCTCGCTAAATGCGAATCTGCTAATCGGCCTTACAGGGTTTCTGCCCAGGTGTTTGTCGACGGGGATCCTAATTTTCATAATAATTTGCATTTCAAAGGGTGCAGCGAACGGTGCATTGTTACCGCGCCGAGAAAGGATATTTGCTCTAACAAAGACACTGTTATTGAGTACAATGTTCAATTGACGTTTTGGTTCTATTTGGCAATTCGTGTCTTTATAAGTAAGTTTTTTTTTTTCTGTTTGTAATTTTTGTATTTCATAGCTTAAATTAATTTTTGAGCAATTATATTTCTTCAGAAGTTAATACTGCTTAGTAAAAAAAAAAATATAAATTCAAAATTAACTAAAATTATCACAGATGTTTAATTATTATTTCGTGAATTTTATGATCTCTAAAAACAAATTATTGTCGTGATAATTTATTTAAAAGCATAAATCTCATAATTCATAATAATACAATCGTTGTTTTAATATATTTTTTTTTCGTAATATTTACTAAACATGTGTTAATTCATACAAAAGTTCCAGATAAATACATTTAGTGATTAGAGAGAATGCAAATTAATTTTATGTTGTCATAAAACTTAATATTTATGTTCAAAATTGCTATAAAAATCTTATTAAAAATAATTAAATAATTTGCGTTACTGATAAAAAAAAAAAAAAATTTTTTATGCTCTTTTGGCATTAGTGACACGAATTAAATAAAAATAATAACCAAAAATTGGTAATTTGGGCGGGATTTTACATTAGCAGATAAATAAATCTTATTCGCTCATTAAACCCGCAGGTATAATCGGCGGTACAGCATTTGCGATGTTCGAAGGTGCAGTTATCGCAATATTACGTGAGCAAAATGCTGATTATGGGCTGCAAAGAATTTATGGGAGTATTGGAGGCATGATATCATCACCATTATCAGGAATGCTAATTGACTATGCCAGCTCCGGCAAAGAATACACCGACTTTAGGTAAAAATCTCTCCTAAAATATCAAAAGTTGTCAATTTTAAATTTTCTACTTGTATTTTTTCTTACAGACCGGCGTTTTATCTCTACGCGGGTCTCAAAGTGATAACGGGTGGGCTGATGCTCGCCATTAACCTCGAATTCAAGTCACCGGCCCACAATGTTTTGAGCGACGTCATCACTGTGCTAAAAAACGTCGAGATAGTAGCTCTTTTGCTGGCCTGCTTCATGCTAGGTTTGTCAATTATTTATTATAAATTATAATCAATATTAAATATAAAGGTATTGATTTCTCCATCATCAAAATCCATCGTCTATCATATCATTGAATTGTGACGTAAACGGATGTGTCAATAACACCGCGTTCAAATGCTGTAACGTCCGTACAAAATAATAATCCTTCTTGAAGGTCGTGTGTATATAATGACCTCCGAAATTACTCATTTTGCTCATTCTTTATCCTTCATTGTTTGTTATTTGCTTTTTTAATCAAATAGATGATGGTTAGTAATAAAAACTATTATTATTATGCATAAATCAATGCGGTATCTTGAATTGTGTGTAAATATTTTGACAATTGTTGTTCACGCGTGCGAGCGATTTACTTTATTTGACTTGTTTGGTATTTGTTTTTAATATTGTGGTTTAAAGATGATGATAATAAAAAATATAATATTTGAAAATTATTGTTAAAATAATTTTATTTTCAAAAAGAAAGAAAATTTATCCAGCAGGAAGAAATGAAATAAAAATAAATAAGAATGATATTTTTTTTTTTTAGGAACGGCATGGGGTTACGTAGAGTCCTTCCTCTTCTGGTTTCTCCAAGATCTAGGAGGCTCAAGGTCACTGATGGGCATCACAATAACTGTTGGAGGAATAGCCGGGATTCCGCTGCTAGTTTTATCAGGCCCGATTATCGAAAGAATTGGTCACGCAAATGTATTGTTCATCGGTTTTATTTTCCATGCAATTCGCTTACTCGGTAATTTATTATTATTATTATTATTTTATTATGACATAACTTTTGTGCATTCCTGTATGATTACAAGTGTCACAGCCAAGGCTAATTATAATTATTATTATTATAAATTGCAATCATTTTTTAAATTTAAATTATTTAATAATAACATGAGAAAAGATTTTAAAATATTTTTTAAAATTATCAGGTTACTCATTGATTTGGAACCCTTGGCACAGTTTGATTTTTGAAGCGCTGGAATCAGTAACAACATCTCTAAGTTTCACCGCGGTTGTTACGTACGCGGCCAAACTGTCAACGACAACAACCGACTCATCAATCCAAGGTCTACTTGGCGGGCTTTATTACGGCGTCGGTAAGTCTATCATTTGTAATTTTAATCTGAAGATAGTTTATTAATAATTAAAAAAAAAAAATTTCAGGAAAAGGCGCGGGCAGTCTAATGGGTGGCTTTATAATGAAAGCGGTAGGAACACGTCCAACTTATCAAATTTTCGCGGTGGTATCATTAGTAAGCGGGCTGATATATTTCATCTTCAATATGTGTTATCTTCGCAAGCGGCCGCAAGTCGAGGGTAACGACATCGTCAAGAAAGACCCAAAAAAGTCCATCGAAAATGGGCTGGCCGTTACAGAAAAGGGAAAAAATGACAACATCAATATCAAGTACTCAAAAAACAAGGCCAGCGAAAACGGAGGCTTCAACAAGGAAGAAATAAATTTAAATTTAAATAGTAATTCTAATTCTAATTCAAAGGCGATTGACTCTAAGAATCAGAATCAGAATCAGAATCAGAATCAGAATCAGAATCAGAATCAGAATCAGAATCAGAATCAGAATAAGAATAAGAAGAAGAATAAGAATAAGGCTGCCGAAGCGAGAGAAGCGCAGCAAAACGTCGACATTATCAAGCCCCTGCCGGAAGAGAAGCCTAAGATTAAGAAGAAGAACAAGCCGATGAATAACAATGAGATTAATCTGAATAAGATTGCTACTGAAGAGGGATTAACGAATCCCGGGTTCGAGAATGATTATTGCGGTGATAACAGTCAGTGCAGTGTTACTGTCGAAAAAGTACCGGAAGAAGAAAACAAATGAAGAAATATTGTACAATAAAAATTTTGAATTGTTACGCTGATTTGTGATTGTAAGTCGCTTGCTTGCTACCACCTTAGATCGGAATTACTTGTATGAGAATGTGTGAGAATGTAAGAATGTGTGAATGTATGTATGAGTGTGTGTGTGTGTGCTGAAATAGACGACGTTGAGGTTGTTAGAGCTAGGCGTCTTGCAAAGGCTGATGAGACTATTACGATACAATTTTCTCATCGTGGTGGATGATATTGGTACTTCCGGATGATACTCAATATACGTGACATGCAACCAGATATAATATGTTTTATAGTTTATGTTTTATGTTATATATGTGATAAAGTGATAAGTTAGTCAACTCTGAGAGGCTCAGTATTGTAAAATCAAAGATCGTTATTATTATTATTATTATTATTATTATTATTATTGACCCAAGATTATGACTATGTTCAATCATTTATTGTTTTAATTCATTTATTATTGTATATATGTATTATTATTATATAAAGGTTGTTGTTTTATTGAATAAATATGGTTAAATTGTTTGTAAATTTTCATTTTTCGTTTTAATTTATAAAAAAATTAATTTAAATTAATTAGTTTTAAAGATGTCGTGTAGTAAAAACCTAAAATGGCACAAATCCCGAGTTAAATAAATGTGTCTCTGAAAAATGAATACACTATTATGATAACGGTTAAAGTTTACCGACAAAATTAGACTGTCTTTGTTTATGATTACGAGTATTTAGCGCATTTAATATTGCACATATAAAACTCGGTACAGTTACAAGCTGCGAGTCTATATAGGGAAGCTAAGTATCCATAAAGGAGTCACAGAACCTCCATTAGGATGGTGAACTTGCTGCTGCTTAGTTTGGCCACCCTGGCGTCGGCGTACGCGTCGGTGATTCCCGAAATCTCCGGATACTCGAGAGTTTCGACCAACGGCGCTAGTAGCGCCAGTGAGCCGCGAAGTTTAAACCCCTCGCCGGTCTACCATCCCGCAAAGCATCTCAAAGTTTACGACGGCGAAGTTGTCGATTATTCACACAAGTGAGACTAATTACAATAATAATAATAATAATAAATATAATTTATTTTTTTATTATCATTACTTAATTATTTATGACAGATACTCGACTTTGGACAAGGAGATGGTTGCGAAATTAGACGGCAAAACGCGTCAAAAACAAGCTGAGGACAGATTCGTTCCTTCGGCGGTAAGACTGCAGAGCCCGTCGGGCAGTCCAGGGTCGTCGAGCTCTTTGGCCTCTCAATCATCAGTCTCAGGTTCATCACCCTCTATTTCTTCCGGTGGTTACGCCACGTTACCTCAAAGCTATTCTTCAAACACTTATCAGTTTCCAGACGATGATAAATCGCCGAAAAATAATAATAATAATAAATTTAAAATAGCAAACAGCAATGGGAATAATAATGATCACGATAATTTGCCCTCTATTACTGCTGATGGATTCTCTATAGCCGGAAATTCTTATTCAAAGGTAATATAGATCTTATAATTATATTGCTCTGTCGTGGATATCTTTTTTTATTTGTTATTTTTTACGTTTTATTGCTGTGAATTCATTAGTTTTTATTTCTTAATTTTGTTTTTTTTTTTTTTTTTTTTTTAGTTCGCGGGATACTTCTTTAAATTCTTTTAATTGAGTCATTTAACTTGAAAATATCGTATTTAATTATCGTAAAAATAAAAATTTTAATTTAAAATTTTTGAAAATAATTCCGATTATTATTCAAATTTTCCAGATACCAGATTCATATGAATTACAACCTGACAAAGTAAAAAACTATCCAAGTTATCTGGATAAATTCCCGTCAAAACCTAGCTATCAACCAGCGCCATTGTACATAGATCCTGACGACCCATACTTACCTAATGATAATGATAATGACAACAACAACAACAACGATAATAACCATAACGATGATGAAGATCATCGGAGTCACGGGAATTTTCCCGATTTGACATACCCACACGAGTACATCTACGATCACCCGCCAGATGATTATTATCACCACCATTTGCCCACCACCACCACCACCACCACCGAGGAAACGATCAACGATCAACGTCTCAATAAGCGCCCGTACTCTTACTACTACATCGGGAAGAAGCTCTGGTACCTCCCATTGTACTTCAGCATCTACTTCATCATTTACATCGCCGCGCTCGTTCTCAAGAGCGTCGCCAGACACAAAATAAACTTCCCTGCGAACCTCGCGGAAGCCGCGCAAGGCGCGAGACATCTTCATTATAATAATAATAATTATACTTCTGATCTTACTCAGAGAGTTTTCGAGTCTATTGAAAAATTTATTTCTAATAATAAAAATAAAAAATAAATAATTGTTTATAAAATTTTTTTTACCTGTAACTATTTATCTATTTATTAAATAAATTATTTATAGAAAAATTAATAAAATTTTGAGTTTAATTTTTTTCATTGGAATTCAAAAAAAGGAAAAATATAAGTTTAGCTTCAATAATTATTTATAATTTCTGACAAGTTTAACACGGAAAATTTGTAATTTATTTAATAATATTTAAAACCCGTAATTCAAAGAAGATAATATTTTATGTAAGGAAAAAATAATAAAAATAACAAAAAAAAAAAAAAAAAAAAAAAAATACCAAACTCGAACGCAAACGCGGGCCAAAGTTGTTTGACGAGTTGGTAAAAAATGTTTGCTAAAAATCTTAATACGTAGAGACATGTGAGTATCGACACTTGACTTTGAACTCGATAATGATAATAATAATGATAGTGGTAGTAATAACTGAAAGAAAGATTTCGCAATCCGCGATCTGTAACAATTACTACTAGTTAGCACATTATCATTTGCTTAACGTTAGCCTTAGTTACAGTTACACTAAATCGAGTGGCATTACTTGACAAGTGACCGCACTGGCAGTAACCAGTTTGGCTATCGGGTTCAGCCAAAAATCATCATTCCTCCGGCTAACGGACTACCGGCTATTTTTCAACGCGATTCGCGATGTGAACAAGAGATAAGTCCCGAGCTTTTAATCTAATTAAATGTTGATTTTTCCAACTCTCAATTACCGGCAGAGTTTATTTTTTTTTATCTTGTTTTGGATACCGAGACACTTTTTACGGTGATAAAATGAAGATTTGTTTGATGACTCTTTTTTTTGTTTATGTTCATTTTGTTCGAGTTAAGACTGATAGTTCAATTATGACCACGCAAAGTACTGATGTAGCTACCACTGAATCTTATAGGTATGTTTTTATATTTTTTCTATCGGTTGAAATATTTTAAACCGTGAAACTAAACAATTACCAACACAAATTTTCAACGTTATAATTTAGCCCCATTTCACTTATATTTTATTTTATAAAAAACTGTAAAAGGTTCGCTTGTACCCAATATTTTGACCAAATTTTGTTCAAATATAAATACATATTACAACAACAATTAGCATACAAACTGCGCTTAATATAAGTTTCCCGGAAGAAATTTAAAGATTCTCTCACTTATCAGGAACAGAAGAATTATTGTATAAAAAAAAAAAAATAAAAAAAAAAACAATAATTAGCTGTCAAGTCAAAGTACCAAAAATTTATCCTTATCGCGAAAATTTATTTTTGAAAGTAATGACTGTAATTGATGGTGATAGAATAATTTATTGTTTAGACAATCGCGAGCGTATAGACGTGGAGAAGATCACAATCATAATCATGATCATGATCATGAAGAAGAAGAAGAAGAAGAAGAAGAAGAGGAGGAGGATAATCAAGCAGATATGGATCAGATGGACGTGGACGGAGATATGGATTCAAAATCTCTAGCAGAGTCGAAAGGAGAGTACTGGGGCGGGTATTACGACTTCCTCATAAACGAAGGGAGCTACAAATTTTGGGCTGTCTTTCAAGTAAGTTTTACTTCTCAGTATACACGATATAATAATATAATATGCAATTTAAACCCTGTAAGGATATATAATAATGCTTTTTCTTCTTTCTCCATTTTCGTCATTATTATTTATTTCCATTTAAATATTTAACGACTCGTGTGTGTGTGTGTGTGTGTGTGTGTATATATGTGTGTGCAAGGGACCCGGGGCTGCGGCGAGATTAAAATGCACGGCCCTTTGGTTAACTTGCGTCGCACAAAGCACAACTGCAACGCACCCGATAATAAACAATAGAGTGTGAATGATTAAGAAAAAGAAATAATAAATGTTGAGAAAATGAAGAAAGAAAGAAAGAAAGAAAGAAAGAAAGAAAGAAAGAGTTGGTTTATGAGTCTAAAATGGCATAACGGACGTTAATGTATTTTGTCGACAGCTTGCCACCGCTGCGCTCCTCATATACAGCGGTTTCGCGGCTCTTTACTACGCCAAGGTTAATCCTTCGACCACCGATGACTACGAGGATTATTTCCTTCGCAGAAGAAAGCGTCATATTAGCGACACGCTTTTTAAACTCGACGACGCCACATTCCAAAGGATTATCGACGCATTGGAACTTAATATTCATTAACTTTAATCTCTTATGTAATAATAATAATAATAATAATAATATTTATTAATTACTTTTGTTAAAGTCAATAAAATTTTTTTTTTTTTTATTTATATTATGTTTGTTGCATAAGCAATTTAAAGAATTAATATTTAAAATTAAAAGAAAAAATTTAATTAATCCCATGAATCATTCTCAAAGTTTTTTAACTAAGCGACCAACAATTATTAAGCGACAAAGCCGAAAGAAATAAAACAAAATGAAATTGGTATTTGATACATGATAGTAATAATAAAAGAGACGATAAATCTGAAGAATGAAAATATTTATCAACACAGCAGGACTTGCTGAACCGAAAATCCAAACTTGTTATATATACCGATGTGATAAAAAATTTAATTCAGTCAATTATAAGCCTTGAAAAAGATGGACGTGCCTCATCATCCTCCACACTACAACCGCGATCGGGGTTGCAAAAAACCAACACAATAATTACGTGTACGTATATAAATTTGATTTATCGTATAAATCCATAAGTTAATAATGTACAAACAAAGCTCGCTCCAGCAGGGGTACAGGGTAAGTAAAAATTTAATATGAATAAATTATTGTTGTAAAAAATAATACTGATTGAGAATCGACGTAAGAATTGCCGATTATTCCTTTTGTATTTTACTATACGTACCGAGTATACACTGCACATATACATGCATAGATACATTTACGCGTGATCACGACCGCGAGGTAAAAAAAGTCGCCATTCGAAAAGGGTTATCATGATCAAACTTGGTCTTATATATTTTATATTATATGTATGTGAGTATATGTATAAGTTCAATCTCTCAAGCTGCTAAATATGCGTCGGATTAAAACGTAATAAAAGTCTTGAAGGAAAAAATGTCGAGCGATAAATCAAGATGAGATGCACAGACCCTGGCGAAAGGATCCTCGCAAACGAACGGTCAAGATTCTCAAACCTTGCAATAACTAAAGGACTAAATTTATAAAAATTATGCATATCGTTTGTCCTTAATTTTTTTATTTTTTATTTTTTATTTTTATTTCAGGGGGAGGTTTCGACCTTAATTTTTATTTATTACATTTGCAATTGTTTCAGGCTCCAAAGAATTTATTATGAATTATGACAAAAAATATTTAAAATTTAAAAAGGTGAAACGATTAAATTTATTAAAATTCCTATTGAAAGAAAGTAATCCCATCTATTTAAATAAAGTCGAATTATTTTCTTATCTACGGATCCCCGTAATAAATAAATAAAAATAACAACGCTGGGGAAAAAAAGTTTAAGAGCCATAAAATTCTTTAAAAGATGTAATAGACTTTTTAACGGAGAGAAAAAAAAAAAGGAATTATTTTCAGTTGATCTCTACTTCTATCTCATTTCTTCCTTTCGTTTTCACTATAACTCTGACATGAATGCTGTCTTTCCCGCAATTCTTCAATGTCCATCGCAATTCCCGTTGGCATTACATCCCATCCCGGCTAAACTTCTTGTCTGTGTGTAACTTACATGACACTACTGATGCATCGCACAAAAGACACTGGTCTGATCCCAAGCCCGAGATCGGTTTGATTCTGATCGAGTTTCCGTCTCCCTCGGCTCCCCCCTCTATCCAGATCCACCTCCACCTTCACCAAAGGATCACCATCATCCTCATCTTCCTCTTTTTAACTATTTTTTTGCTCTCCTTGCGCCTTTACACACATTTGTTAACTAAGTTCTAAGCGTACCGACTTATGGAGTACACTCTACGGAATTCCACATAAAATTCTCCGCTTTTTATCCTCATAAAATCCCCAACCACTTTTGCTCTCGTTTTATATTATTTAAAACCAGTATTACACTCTTCTCATTCGATTCTTCATATTTTCTTGTACACATACGTTGTTACACATTTTTTTAAACACACATTATCATCCAATTTCATCTTTATCAAGTCATTTTTTTCTTCTTACCTTTCTTTTTTATTATAAATTATCATTTAAATCACTAAATTCATAGAGATTTATCAATATAATATTTTTTTAAAGAAAACCTTTAGAAGTTATTCTCGTGAATTCTTAAGTGTTACACGGTTCAGTTATTGCGATAACTGAAAAAACTGCACAGAATACTGAATTTTACGGAAGCCGAATCCCATGACGTCATTGATTCTAAGGTCAATCTTACGATTGTATTGAATACTAAAATTGAGAACCGGATGCTTTGCACCATTAAGTTTGCGATGCTCAATCATAAATATTCAGTCATGTAGTAATTTTTTTTATTCCAAATATAATAAGTTAAATTTAGCATCAAGAATAATATCATTCTATAAATTCTATTACTATTTTAAATAATAATATCTTATATAGTTCAATAAAAAATTCCACTTTTTTATCAATAGCATTATTAAAAAATTATTAATAATAATTAGTATCGATTTCATGAAACATAAAAAAAATTTTTTGTTTAAACATTATTATGACGAGTAGATTCCTAGCCGTGAGAAAAAATGTATTATGAGGGATATGATTCTGCAAAATAGAACGGAATCCCCGAAAAAAACCGACGTGGAGATCAATTAAAAGTAGTAAGTGATTGATGATGCAATAATAAACAAAACGAATAGGATAAAAAAAAAAAAATTGAATAATACATTTAATTTTATTATGATTAGTAACGGATTGAGGGAAGAACAGCAAGGTTTACTTCCCATAAATTCTCAATCACTCCGACCTTTTTCTTGACTCAACACTGTATAGATCTATAGATGTTGAGAGTTAAGATGTATGTATACTTGAATATATATATATATATATACATAGATACAATATAAGCCAAGTGTCTCTTTTACTCGTGATCCTAATTCCCCATTATTACAGTGTTGAATCCAGGTTACTATGAAAATTAATCCTTTAGAATTATCTCATCGTTATATTATCATGCAGACGAAATAATAACTCGTATAACATAAAAGCTAACGGGCTTATTCTTTTATTCGCTTTATGTCACGTTGTTGTTTTCAATAAATTTTTACGCTGAAAACATTTCTCACAATTAATACGCGCTATTTATTTTATTTTCATTATATTTATTTTATTAAATTATTGTTCTGTTGTACTCTATTTTTCTGCTACAAATATTTAATTTTTCTAAAATTACCACCCAGTATTTTACTAAGTAAAACCTTAAAACCTAAATTTATGAAGTAAACAGAAGACCTACTTAAATCTAAGTACCTCGTCGTCCTCGTGCAAGTTAAATAGCCCGCGAAGGTCGAAAATTGAATGAAAATCTCGCGATGGAGATGAGAAAAAAAAGTATAAAGCCTAATAAATAAAAATAAAAAGCGAACTTGAACTAGTACGTGATCGCGAGTCCATTCTAGTAAGTAATAGATATAGAAGCTGGGTAAGTTTTTAGATAAATTTTTTAACAGCTCTGCTCGGCTGCTGTTACGAGATTTGTGGAGTAACAGAGCGAGTGAGTGAGGTCAAGAAAATGAAGAGTCGATTGGATTGGATGGATCGAATTAGCCGCTATATATTGTTTGTTGTCTTTATACAGCGACCTAAAAACGTTTGGAGGATAGCCCCTGATATAAGCACTTGACACTGAGACAAATAAAAGGTGTGTGCCACCTCCCGTCACGATATAATACCATACTCTTGGATATAGATGGAACGGAACAGGTTCTCGATGCACCATGCGCCTTACACACCGGCACGGCGGTTCTAATCTCGATCAACGGCTTTACTTACACTTATAACTTATAACTTATAACTTATAACGAAACCCATCCATTTCCGGCTGGCTTCTTACTCTCTATACATTTTTATATCTATGGTACCGAGTCGTTTGGTACGATGTATACCGAGCAGAGAAGATACAGATACAGAGAGGGAAGAAATTATATTAAATGGAATTCTGTAACCTCACCCATCTACAGGTCATTTACGCCTATTTTTTTTTTTTTTTTTTTACCTTTTATCCTTTCCTAGACACTTTTATTTCAAAGCCTTATTTATACATAACTACTTACTTTTATTCCAACAGAGGATAAATATTTGTTTTTCAACACTCCAAACGTATTATTTTATTGTTACTTTTTTCGAATCACGGCTATTGTCAGCTGACTAAAATATTAACTCGATTGATATAATGGGAAAAATCTGTAACTAAGAGAATCATTTTTATCAGTGTAATATTTTTATTAGACAGATAAAAGTTTTGAGGTTTTTTATATCAGTTGTATATAATGTTTGATATAGAAATATTAGTTGATGATTTCAAAGTGTGAACAAAAATTATAATTATATAGAGTTTTTATAAAATATCATTTTTGAGAAAACTAAAAAAATTTTTGTTATTATTTAAAAAAATTAAATGAATAAACAAAAATAAAACAAGTAGATGTTAGAATGATGGATGCAAGAGATGTTATTGGTTGAATCATCGTATACCTAAAAGATAATACACGTTTACCTAGACCCATACACCGTCGACCAAAGTTAATACTATAAAGCTAAAGCCAGCAAGTTAAAGTAGTTGACTCGAATGCAGAGGTAGGAATGGGAAGGTGAGATAGTGTAGCAGAGTGTAGCAGGGGAGTTGCCGGTGTACGGCTTTAGTAAAAGAATGAAGATGAAGAATGGCGGTGAAGATCGTCCAGTCGTCAGTCGGTGGTCAACCGTCTTGAAATAAAGACGTCGCGTTATCACACAGCTAGATATATAAATATATAACTATAACTATCCATGCCGATTCCTCAACAACCGACTCCAATAAAAATCATAAAATTATAAATTACTAAAATTATTTAAATCGGTAGTTTCAATCAATTACTCAAATCAATAACAGTTAACACTCCAACTTAATAATAGTTTGAACGCGAAAATTCATTTGACATTTCGATGAATATTCTTACGGGGCTAATGACCGCGAGATTGCATTCGATAAATTCATAAACTGGTAGATGAGGAAATAATTACTACTCAGTGTTAAATGTCAGATCAAT